TGTCTCTTTGCTTTGATTTACGCATGCCACTAGTAAAGTTGTTTTTTTTTTTTTTTTTTTTTTTTTTTTTTTTTTTTAATGAGAAATATATCACAATTGCTCTGGTTACAAATATACTAAATATTACCAATTTGCTGTTACATTTTACTCATTTTGTTTAATCAAAACAGAGTTGGACTGACGAGTGCTTGAAATGGAACCCGGATGACTTTAACGGCTTAAAACAGTTTGCAATACCTTCTGAGAATGTGTGGTTACCAGATTTGGTGTTATATAATAGGCTAGTACATTTTATAAAACGTTCTGAAGGAAATGATAACATATTCATCATTCAAGATGTTTTCAACATTTTTACAAGTTTAAGAATCCTCAGATCAACTTACATACAAGAATAACATGATGTATAATTTAAGAAGGATAGAAGACTTCAGTTGCAAACAAACAAACAAACAAACAAACAAAAAACAACTAAAAGCATGAGATATTAATTTCTTTTACTTGTATACATTTTTCAAATATTTCAGTGTCGAAGACTTTAAAGCCGGTAGAGAGAAAGGAAATGTAGTGACACATAACGATGGACTCGTTGTATGGGTACAGTCATTAAAATTGAGAAGTTCATGTTCCATGGATGTTTCTAGGTTTCCTTTTGATGAACAATATTGCATTCTGAAGTTTGGCTCATGGACATACAATGGATTACAAGTATTCATATTTCTATGCATTTGTCTGCCTTATTCATTGGCTTTCACTGCAGGATATTGATAAAGTTTCTTCAAATTCTTAGACCCTCAAATTGTTGGTATATCTTATCAAAAACCTTCGATTTGTTTTCTAAAGAGAACCTTTTTAACTACATAACGGATGGTCGGTCATTCTGTTAATGTGACTTAAGTGCTTGACAAGGGACATGACCCTGTTTAAGATCATTCTGCTGCACTTATTCGGATTTTTTCGCTCTAAATGTTTCTTAATTAATCAACAAACAAGATTAATTCAGTAGGAATAGTAAAATATGTACATGAAAGTGTTTTTGCAAATACAAATATATGCCATGCCTATACAACTGTTCCAATTAAAATGACTTGCATTCAGCAAACCAACTTTAAATTAATGTTAATTTGTTGTTGTGGTAACATTAAATGTTTTCCTGAACGATAGTGATAAGAATGGTACCTTTCATAAATTTTCCTCAACTGACTATATCTCAACTTTACCCAAATAATTGTCGCAGAATGAAACACCTTAACATGTTTATGTTTTCAATGATGTTGTTTAATTGTTTCATTACCTTCTTTCGTGGTATACTATTGAATAAATGATTGTCAATTTGGTAGAAATTCGTAATTCCAAACTATTTAACAGCTGGAAGTTGGTAATTTAGGCCACTATCACCAGCATGAAATGTTTGAAGAACACATTATACGATTTTAAACACAAAATAAAGGAGGGGACCTAGTTGGTTATTCGCGCGAATCCCAAACCATTACTAGCAGTTAGTCGGTAACTCGTAATTAAACGGTCATTGGGTTTACATTTATATGTTTTTACATGAGCATTTCTGTCTTTTAATTATTTCACCTTTTGTAACCATAACAACCATTATAATAACACTCGGCGGGATTACTTTTTTATGCTTCCGAAGGATGAGTATATAGTCATCGCTTTTTCTGTCCATCCGTCCGTCCGTCCGCTTTTCTTGTCCGGGACATAACTTTGAAACAAGAAGTTGTTTCACTGAAACTGTTTCATCATGAAACTTTGTAGGTAGATAGATCTCATTGAGTAGGTGTGCAGTGCACAAGAACTGTAACTCTGCCTTGCCTAATTTTTGAATTATTGCCCTTTGTTTATTTTTACACTTTGAACTTTGTCCGGGACATACATGTAACTGTTAAACTATAAGAAGTATCAACATGAAACTTTGTCGGTAGATAGATTTCATTGAGTAGGTGTGCAGTGCGCAAGAATTGTACCTCTGCCTTGCCAAATTTTTGAATTATTGCCCTTTAATTATTTTTACACTTTGAACTTTGTCCATTACTCTAAAACTATAAGAGATAACAACATGAAACTTTGTAGGTAGAGAGGTCTCATTGGGTAAAAGTGCAGGGCTTAAGAACCATAACTCTGCCTTGCCTTATTTTAAAGTTATTGCCCTTTGTTTATTTTTACTTTTTGACTTTTGTCCGGGACTATTAGAGATATCAATATGAAACTTTGTATGTAGTTAGAAATCATTGGAAAGAAATGCAATGCTAAAGAACCTAAACACAGCCTTGTCTAGTTTTGGAGTTATTGCTCTTTGCTCATTATTACACTTTGAATTTTACCCGGGACATAACTCTGAAACTATAAGAGATATCATCACGAAACTTTATAGATAGATAAGATCTCATTGAATAGACGTGCAATGCAAAAACAAACATGCCTCTGCCTTGGAGTTTTTGCCCTTGGTCCATATTTTTTATACTTTCCTGTGTCCAAAACCTTCTCGGGGAGCATCATCCGGTTCAACCGGTTTTTGTGTTACATTGGCTCGTTTAAAAGGAACATGTTAGGACTAAGAGTGAGGTTTTGTGCACCATTTACTGGCTTAAACTCCCCCGAAGTACTTAGGCTGCTGACCGTTTCAGGGTGGCGCCTCTCTGTGTTCCTCAGATTATGTCTTTTTTGTTGTTTTATACTATTATAGTTACACTTTTGTGTCCCTTCTTGTTGTTTTTAAATCGACGGTAAGTATTTATTTTTATTTAATAACGAGTAGATATAATAGATATAATATATATAATAGAAATCTTTTCTATAATATGGTTACACCAATATACAATCAATCGGCCAGGGAACTCAGTTGGCCATTTTCGCGTGAACTACCCAGTAGGGGGAAATTGGTTATTTGAACAATTAAATGCACTTCTCCAAAAAACAGAAAATAACGTTTAAGAAATAAAGTACCAAATATATGACAAGATGAATTAATTCTACCAAATGGTATCATCCAGTCTCAATGGAGCTCAATAAGTGTTTCGCGTGAAAGTACTTTAAATTTCCGGAATAAATATAGCGGATAAAAGATAGATAAATTCTTTAACATGTAAAGTAACAGATATATGACAAGAAAGATAACTTTTATTAAATGGTAACACACCATCTCACTACGAAATCTTGCAAAAGTTGGAATCACCAACTACCTGCTGGTAGGTTATTGGGGATTCACGCGAATTCCTCCTTTATTTTGTCGACCATTTCATGCTGGTGATAGTAAATTGAATTAAATATCTACCAACACAATTGACGTTCAAATCGCATTATATTATCATATCTTTAAAAGTATAGTTAATTCACTGCAGGCATATCTAAATGCAAATATATGTTTGTTAAAAGAGCTTACTTTCACAGTGTTAAAACGTATACATGATACCTCCTAATAATGTGATTTCAATATCTTTCAGGTAAATTTATCAGCGAGGACGGACTCAGTGGATCTCGGCCACTTCAGAATGGGATCTAATACAATCAGAATTAAAAGTTCAACTTAACCGATATCATTATGAATGTTGCAGCGAGATACCATATCTTGAGGTGACAGCACTATTGGCCATACGACGAGTACCTACATATTATTTGTTTACCATAATTATTCCTTGCCTCTGGCTGACCATTTTAAATTTGCTTGTGTTCTTGCTGCCAGCTGATAGTGGAGACAAGATTTTATTAGGAGTTACCGTGTTTCTTTCACTTTCTGTGTTCATGCTTGTTATTTCGGAAAAAGTTCCAGGTATGTATTAGAAACTTGTCATTTTTATTAGATTCCTGACGTTCGGACCGAGTTTTTTCTAATTTTTGAAGTGTCAACACTTAGTTTAATATTTTACTGTTCCAGACATCCTGTAATATTTCCACACTTTTTCGCATTGTTACACTGCCACGCGAATCAAATGGTACTTTTTCAAAAATATTTCTTCGGGCGGGTGGGGAAAGGTATATAGTGATCCTTGATCGTTGACCTTTTATTGATATATTACACCCATATAAGCTACATTGAAATTACAAAAAGCTGGCACTAGGGAACATCCCTCCTGAAACTTAGAAGTGTGATTTACTGCGCTTTGAGATATTGAAAGGTGCAACATCACGCCGTTTTCACGCCCCTTTCATGGCCCATCTTACTTTCAATAATAACAGAAGGACCAGTAAAGATAGCATAAGGGATGAACACCTCTGGCCGAAAAAATAGCGGCACATAAAATGTTTTTCATATGTCAATTCTTTAATACGCATTTCATGAGAGAAAATATAAAGACAAAGGCTCGGTGCTTATGAAGCAAGCATGTTTATTCTGACCTGCATTCGAGATGATTGTTAACAAAAAACAACATATTTGTAAACATTTGCGGTATTTATGCGTTGACCACGACTTATCTCGTTACAAATATGTAAGTACGAGGGCTGATTGATAAATTCGCGGATTTGTCCTCTAAAACCAAATTACTTTATTGAATTAAATGAAAACTTGAATAGAGGTAAACCAAAATGTTTGCAATTTCATTTTCAAATTGCCGTATATATATCAAAATATTCCTACGAATACACCGTGTCCATTGCAACCACTGTCCTGTGACTTGAAGCATGCAATATTATAAAGTATGAATGATATAGTATAAATGTCACTGCCGGTAGTAAATTAAAGCAAATCTGGCGCTAACGTGTGCAACGTCAGTAACACGTCTTAATGTCAGTTCCTGTAAATTTAAAGACGATGTATTGAACGATTGTTTCTTTGATGAAATATGTTAATGGGAAGCTATGAATATACTTGGCAACAATAAACATAGTTTTTTTAAAGATATAATTATGAAACAATTTCTATCCTAAAATCAAGCGAAAGTTATTTTATATACAAGTGGTTGAATACAAAATATTACTTTTACGTTAACAATTTTTAAAAGCTCTTGTTGAAATGACAGAAACACTTGCATTGATATCAATTGCTTATAAATCTTTTAAAAGTAAATTTGCAATTAAACATTATTTGTTACACGTTTAATAAAAATGCAATTACAATGGTCCAAACAATAAGGTAAAAATAAAAAAAATATAACTGTTTCTTTTTTGTTATTAAAATATTTTCTATAAATACGTGTACAGCTTGCCGGTTCTAGTTTTAAATAAATATTATTTATTTAATTTTATAAAATACATTTTAAAATATTGCCGAAATGCAGACTTTGTGCGTTATCAACTTTCATGTGTTACGTCGGGACTTGGTACAAGCCTTGCGCCGGATGTGACCTCAGCTAGACCTGTACGGTGTTATCCTACACCATGATAGTGCCCCCTCACACCGGGCTCACGACACAGAACTGGAGATTAGCCTGCTCGGGTCAGTCACTTCCACATCCACAGTACAGCCGGGATTAGGCTGCATTAGACCTTCGTCTGTTCCCCGATTTGAAGAAGGAACTGAAGGGCCAACAATTTGAAATATCATTAGAGCTACACACAGGGCGCACGAGATAGTTTCGTCGTTCAGTTCAGATTGGTTTAAAGTGACTTTTGACCAATTGATAAACAGGCATAAGAAATGTGTCGCCACCGGGGGTAATTACGTTGAAAAGTGAACTGGACATTAGACTTTGACGTTTAGGTGACGCCTGCGTGTGACAACGTCGCATCGGCGTGCTTCAAGTGTATAGTGTAGAGTTATGATTTTGCATGTAAATTTTGTTGTTAAATAAATCTCAATGATTTATTTGGCTTTTTGTCAGTCGAGAGTAACGGTATCTCGTAGTGTAATTTACTTGTTAGTTTTTCAATGTTTAAGAAATAATACAATTCTGCGAATTTATCAATCAGCCCTCGTATGGCAAGTAATTTGCACGGCGACCCAAGTGTTTCCTTAACGACAGATAGTGGCACAGTTATCACTGTTTATGATATGAAATTATTTAATTTAGCAATATACCATTGCACATTGCTCCAATTTTGCTGATTTTTTTCCTGTTTTCACATTTTGCTTAATTATGCTAAAATGTTTAAGACATACTTTGAAAATATTTTTGATCTCGGCAACTTTTTCATTCAATTAAAAATGCTTTGCTGACATATTCGTCTCGTTGTTTTCTGACAGACAAATTGTTGTTCCCTTCTTTTTACTGACATACAATCCGTTTTCCATTATTATTTTTTCTCCTTTTTAACATTCATACATACATGCATGCATCCATGCATCCATCCATGCATCCATGCATCCATCCATCCATCCATACATACATACATACATACGTACAAGCATGCATGCATCCATCCATCCATCAACGCACGCACGCATCTATGCATGCATGCATCCATCATACATCCATCCATCCATCCATCCATCCATCCATCCATACATACATACATACATACATACTTACTCGCACGCACGCACACAGACAAACAAACTGTTCCCTTCTATAAACCGACAAACAAATTGTTTCCTTCGATTAACCGACGAATAAATTGTTTCCTTCTATTAAACGACTAACAAGTTTTTTCCTTCTTTTTACATCAGTCTACGTGACAGTCTGCATGGGAATGACGTCAGTGTCTCTCTTTATGGCGGTATTTATACTAAACCTACATCACGTTGGACCTTATCGAAAAGCCGTTCCGAGATGGTTGCAAATTCTGACCTACAATGTTCTTTCCCGAGTTCTTTGTCTCAAACCAGCATCAGGACCCTTTCAGCGCCAATGTGGAAATAAAGCATACACGCATAATGGGGACAAGAGTGCAGAAGACACAGAAACCAATTCTGATATATCTTTAGCAGCAGAGAAACAAAATGATTCAGACGAATGCAAGCAAATAATTGCAGAGGAGTGGAAATTTGTTGCGACAGTACTAGACAGATTCTTTTTCTGGCTTTTTCTGAGCGGTAATGTTCTGTATTGGACAGAATTTTCAGAAATACAAAATATGTGGAAATAGGATACTGGGATACTGAGCAAGCGGTAATGTCCTGTTTTGGGCAAAATTTTCAAACATACAAGGGTATATGGACATAGGATAATGACAAGGGTTGTTCTTACATTAATTTATTGTGTTAAATATTCTAATTTCGTATATGTCGTGGCAATTAAAATTTTATATATAGATCTACAATAACTTTTCTTTTTTTATAATTATTCTCCTATTTTCATTTCCTGTTATTGTTAAATCAGAAGGCCGTATTGGAAATAAGTATCATGTTTTCTTTTGTGTAAACTTTGTATGTTACCTTCTTTAAATAAATATTTCATTATTATTATAAAATCTCTTGTTATTATTATTTTATTATTATTATTAATATTATTATTATCATTATTATATTTATTATTATTATTATTATTATTATTATTATTATTAATATTATTATTATCGTCGTCGTCATCATTTTCGTCATCATTATTGTTATTATTATAATCATTGCATGTATTATTTTTAATATCATCATTTTTATTATTAAACCACTGTTCGAATCATGCGATGAACTCCGATTTTTATGAAAGGGAGCTACGCGTCTACATTGTATCTTACACAACGTCGATGATTCTACATCTTGTCGCATAAGACTAAATGGGGTTGATTCTCGTTGGTTTGAAGTCAAATGTGGTCTTAAACAAGGCTGTCCTTTGTCGCCAATTTTATTTAATTTTTACATCAATGACTTAGTTACGGTTATTAAAGAATCAGGTATAGGAGTTAAATTCAATGATGATATCATCAATATTTTACTATATGCAGATGATGTTGTGCTTATTGCTGAATCTGCTATGAATTTACAAAGTTTGCATGACATTCTCAGTGTCTGGTGTATTAATAATAAAATGAGTGTTAATGGGGATAAGTCAAATGTAGTTCATTTTAGAACAAATAGTTGTGTCTTAACAAATAATGTTTTTAGTATAGGTTCGACAATGATACCTGTTGCACATAGTTATAAGTATCTTGGTGTTATTTTAAATTAATTTTTGAATTTTGCTGAAATTGCTAGGAATGTAGCTCTCTCTGCAGGAAGAGCGCTTGGTCTTATTATTTCCAAATGTAAAACTTTTGGTGGCTTTCAGTTCTCTACTTTTACTAAACTTTATGATTTCATTGTCAGGCCTGTCATTAGCTATGCAGCCCCGATATTGGGAGATAAGTCATACTCGTGTATAAATGCCATCCATAATAGAGAAATGCGTTATTTTTAGGGGTAGGTAAATACACCCCGAATTCAGCAGTCCTAGGTGAGATGGGCTGGAAGCCACTGATAGTTCAGCAATGGGGCGCTGTTATAAGACAACACTGAAGAATGTTAAATATGCATGACTCAAGATTGAATAAAAAAGTCTTTAATTGGTCAAGATCAGTAGCTAGTATTACGTGAAAGAATAGTATTTTTCGAATTACAGAAATGTTACAGAGTATTAATTTTGAAGACCAGATTTATTTTAGCACAAATCAAGTGAATACTTAAGCAATTGTAACAAAAATTGAGGACAAAATTCTTGATGTAGAAGTTAATAAATGGAAACAATCATTAGAGCGTGTGTCATCTATCTCAGGAAATGGTAGAAATAAGCTAAGAACATATAGAATGTTCAAGAATGTTTTTGAAACTGAAACTTATATAAAACAACATTTGCCTTTTCATTATCGAAGAGTTATGGCATTATTTAGATGCGGTGTTGCACAGATAAGATTGGAAACGGGGAGGTATGAAAAGCTGTCAATACATGAAAGAACTTGTTTTAACTGTACTGATACCGTAGAAGATGAGATACATGTTATGTTACACTGTCCACTCTATTTACAATTCAGGGAAAACCTATTCGAATCTGCGAGAACAATTGTTAATAATTTTGACAACTTATCTGATGTGAAGAAAATGCATAACGTTTTTGTTAATCCATTTTTGACTTAGTTTACAGCCAAAGCATGCTTTAATATTTTAAAACATAGACGTCTTTTACTTTGTTGTAGGTAACTATTTCTCTTATTAAGTAGGTATTTAAGCTAGAGTGTTGTGAATCCTACAGACTGAATTTATTTTAATATTATACATATTGGTATTTTATTTCTCTTAACTTTCATTTGAATTGTTGTTCATCAGACTAGTGAAGTGTTTTATATATAGACTTTTAGACACATTAGTAGGAATATGAAAGCTTAAAATGATTAGATTCACAGCATTCCCAATTCATTTAATATAAGTGTGTATAGTATATAATCATATAAGTATGTAAATATGATCTTTTATTATATTTACCAATAGATGTAAGCTTTGCTTACACGTCTCTTATAATTCTATATTGAATGGCATATGTTCTTTTACCAGTTTTATTCATTTCTATTGTGATATATGTGTTGTACATGTAATGAGACGTAAATAAACTATTTGAATTGAATTGAATTGAATGATTCTACACAGGGACCCAATCGTTCTATGACTAGTAGAGTGTTGGTGTATCTTAAGACCTCTCAATTGACTGTTTTAAAGACGAAGTTGATACCGTTAGAGCGCTTTGCAGTGAACTTTACAGACAACAAATAACTATGATGAATTACGTTCAAAGTAAGAGTAACGTACGTCATCATCAAAATCAGTATAACCTTGATTGACATCAAAATCCCATTTATCATCAATAACATTAGCGTTATCATTATTTAAACTATGGTCACATCCATCATGATCAAAACTGTCCCCACTGGCATCATCATCATCATCATCATCATCATAATAATAATAATAATCATCATCATCATCCCATAATAAAATTTATTACCAAATCACGTCCATTTTCGTCAAAATTATAATCACCTCAATCACAATCATTGAAATTTAATGATCATCAACTTTTATGTCAGCATCATTATTATCATCGTCATCATCATCACAAAACTATCTTCACCTGTATCATCATAATAAAAATTATTTGTATCATCACTCTATGATCATCATTAATAAATTATTGTCACCTCAATCGTAATCAAGATGATAGTTTTCACCTACTAACATTTTCATCAACACAATAACTGTTCTTTCATCTTCATTATCATCAACACAATTACTGTTCTTCCATCTTCAGAATAATAAAACTCACCACATCAATCATCAAATTGTTCGTCATCGTCACCAAAATCATGAACTGATGATGATGATGATGCAGATAACGATGGATTCATGATGATGATGATGATGATGATGATAATGATGATGATAACGATGGACTCATGATGATGATGATGATAATGATGATGATGATGATAACGATGGACTCATAATGATGATGATGATAATGATGATGATAACGATGGACTCATGATGATGATGATAATGATGATGATGGTGATGATGATAACGATGTACTCGTGATGGTGATGATGATGATGATGATGATGATGATGATGATGATGATGATGATATTGATGATGATGATGATTAAAGTGTTGATTAAAGTGTTGACTATTTACAATATTATAATAACCAAACCTGTGTGTATTCGAAAAAAAAAACAACTTTATTATGTGAAAAAAATACGTATTGCATGCTTATGCATGAGGAGATTTGTCTGTTAAATCGATGCCTCTGAACGAATCCAGCCAAAATTCTATATCGCCTCGACATCAAACCGACATGGTTTTCTATGACGGCCCGTTGTCGGCTTTAACAAGTTTTCAAGTTTTATTGAATATATATCCCATGTCGGCTTTAACCTCGGCTGCAAATAGGAATGATGTTGGCCCGACATCGGCAAAACAATATCGGGCCGATATCTTAACGATATAAGCCCGATATATCTTGCCGACATCGGGCCTACATCAAAACAATAGCGGTGCGATGTCAGCCAACAGTAGAAAGATATCGGTCCTTTATCGACCAGGTATCATCCTTATGCTACCATGCTGATGACATCTAACAACAAGCATTTGGCATAACATGCAAAAACACAAAATAAAAGATAATTCTTTTACAAAATAAGATAATAAAGACATATATTTAAACTTAAATGTGCAAATGACAATCACTACAATGATACTGTAATGCATGTGACAAATATTTTCAAACATAATTTTACATCTTAAAAAGAGACAAATAGATAAATTGTTTGTTTTTTTTTCAATAACTTTTAAGTGTAAAAATCAAATTATTTACAGCTTTTACAGATTTATTGAATCTTCATGACATTAAAAAACATGCTTTTCATCACCTTTCTTTGTTAGCTTTTCTTTTTGGCACTTAATCTGTTTATTGTAAGACATCAGTGAATATTTCCAAGCTTTTCATTTAAAATTCAATAAAAGAGTGATGTTTATGTAGTCAAAACATAAATATTGAATTTAATTACAAACCCCATATCATTTCCAAACTAAACTATGATAATTTTAGAAATTCAATCCAAAATGTACAATTATTTGCTGCATGATTTTCAATTCAACAGAAAACTCAATATCTTACCGATGTCAATCCGATATACAAAATAGTTGCATTGGTAGGTCATGTAGGCCCGACGCAGACCCGATATATCTTTTTGATGTAACACGAAATGTGGTTATTGTGGTACTAGTAATTGAAATCATATACAGGACAATTTATTCACATTATTAACTAAACAATGCCATTGCAATAAGAGTTTTTCAAAATATTCAATATGTCGGCCCTGTAGCGGCCCGACGTCGGCCAATAGTCGGCATATTTTGCCGGCATGCTGACATTAATCCTATATCAGCCCGATATGGTCATGCTGGCTTGGTACGTATAGACCTTTTTAAGATACGATTTTCCCTTAGTAACGAAAGTTGTATTTCGCGCATGCGCATTCTGGTATCATTAGACGACTTTATCATCAGTAACTTAAATTGAAACAGCAGGGTGCTAAGGATAAAATTTTATTCGGTTGCGAAGTATCTGTGTATTTTATGACTTTAAAAACGTCGCATGGTTTACAGCGGAATTACACGTATTAAAAATTATTGCAAGTAAATAAAATCATTTAGCAATACCACTCAACCCGCGACGTTTTAGTACCATGCCATAGTTAATCACCTAAAATTATGAAAAATCGTAACTTAAGAAACTTCTAATTATAGAGCTACCAATACTCAAATCCCCTTTATATGGAGTTATATTCAGTAAGGTATCGGCGAACTAAAAGCTACATGCGGCGTAAAACATTACTTTTCATTGAAAAATAAATAAAAAAAAACAAAAACGATTGTAAGCGAAAAAAATGAAATTTGAATGGAAAAATACAAGATTATATTTTAAAGATATTGTGTTACTGCATTAATGTTATACTAAATATTTTATTCTTTTCATTATGCCCTAAAATGCTTCTACTTTTATTTCTCAGAAGCTTTTTACATGTGATGTCCTCTTGTAGTGTCCATACACCTATATTGTATCCAAATAACTGAACCATCTTTCACATATGTCCCTTATTGCAATTAGTACAGTTATAGTTATAATTATTTTGTATTTTGTGCACATTTTGCTTCACATTTAGCGGTACTTTCTCAAGGTAATGAGCAACTTGTAACACCGTCGTAGACCATAATCTATATCTCAAGATGGGAAAATGTATTTCTGTTATAGGCACAATGTGTTTTTTAAGTTGAAAGAAGCATTAACTTGTAGAGAAGTCTTTTCATTCTAATTTAGTGATTTAATTTTAGCTACATATATAATTATATGAGCGGCAAAATTTTCCTTGAATTTAAATCAAAAACGTTCATTTAGATTTAAGTGATGAACTGACTTTATTACTGATAACGATTTACTGAAAATGCGAGCAATAATTGATGAAGGTTTTAACATTTAAACCGTTAAAATATCTCACTTTGATAAAAACAGGTTTGAATATTCCGCCATTTTTTAAAACCCGCCAAGGGCGATAACACTCTGAATGGGAACACACAAAGCGTACCGGAGAGTTAATATTGATCAGATCTATACAGGATTTTGCTGCATATTTCGTGTTGTTGTTGATGTTATTTTATTTCTCTTACTAGATTTAAGTTGAGACTGTGTTAACACGTGATTAGTACTCGGCAATATCTGTTTGAGCTAATTACGGACTTTATAAATTAGTGTTGTGAAATAACCAGTCACGAGGTCGACGGTTTTTAACAACACAGATAAACAGATAAATTGGCATACAGACGATGTTTACATTGTTGACTATCGGGTTTATTTTCGGTGAGTACATCATTGTCTTATTATAGTTTACATTGTGTTAATCTAGAAGTTCAAATCAATAATATATTAGTATTATTGTTATTAATTAACCTTTTGATTTTCCGTGAGTCTTAACAATATATAACTTGGTGGGGTGTGTTAAGTTAGCGTTCATTGGTAAGCATTTACAAATTAAATTCGTGAAAATCATTAATGGATAATTATTGAACACCGAGTTGATTAATCAGAACAAGTACTGTGTACAATCTGAGCATGTATATATTATTAATATTACGCAAAGTTTATATTTTATTCTAAATGCGACAAATAAGGTCACAAGATCTAATAAAAAAAACACTTGGTATGTCGTTCTGTCATATCTATTATAATCTTTATCTCTCTGACACAATAATTTTTCTTCAAATAGTTGAAGATGATTAATAGTGTGTAACTATACTTTTATGTTGTTGACATACATTATTTTGTTGTCATTCACTCTCCGCTAGATCATGTAGATTGAATTATAGGGAAGGAGATACAGCGGACCTTTCAATATAGTGATTGTCGGACCGAGACGGTATTTGCGTGATTTAAAACTAACAGAACTTCATAAAAATGAAAAGGGACAGGCATATATTTCTCAATGTTAAACTACCCTTAAATTCAAAAATAAATAAATAAATTAATGATTTAATTAATTAAGGCTACCATTACATAATACAGTATATGAAATACATTGTATGGCTGTGATAGATACATGTAACAGAGTCACGTGACAAATATTTTAAGTGACATTATACCCATCCATGAGTATTTAGTAAGTAAACAGGTAAATATCAAAATAAGTTTTAATTTTGCCAGAATTCCTTTTGATTTAATAATTTAATCCCCATAAACAATAAATGATGCACAGATCAAAATAAAATTTCTGTTAATATCTATAAGAATTTACCTATAACGTCACTTTATAAAAAAAGAGTAGGGCAGTCTTTTTATATTTTAGGCAGATTAATAATTTTATCCTGAACGTTTTCTAATATCAACTGTTGGTCAAACACCATTTTAACAGTCAATCTTTTGAAATATATAGTCAGTTCGGCTCAACTTTACTATGAAATATGAGCATAATGTCACTCTAAGTAACCTACGTAATCTATCGTAATTATGACATGCACTTTTATAGCTTGTGCAAAACTTAAGCGATATACAAAATGTAAAGATTTTGCCAATATACTATTTTTTTAAGAATTATATCAAAAACAGTGACAAAAATAACAAATTAAATATTAAAAAACAACCCCCAGTCAGGATATGGGAATTGACTTTAAGCCAACTAGGTGACAAGTTTATATTATACTACTACGTAATAAAGTGCTGATCCGTTTGTTGTTCTGTCCTAGTAATTTTTTTATTTTTCATATTTGCTGCTTGCATTTTCATTAGGTTTGGTGGGCAATGTTGTAAATGGAGACGTTTGCGGACTCAGAAATTGTAAAGGTGTGTATGCTGATGTTGAACAAAAAAAAAAATGTTTTTGTTAATTACGTTTAATTAATTTACGTACATGAATGTCAGTGTCATCTTCATCGTTTGTATCTTCCTATTGTTTTTCCCCGGCTTTATTAAGCGAAACTATTTAAAATTCGTCACACCTGAACACAACCTTTAAATTGACCATATCTGGATATCAGGTACTGCTATAATGTCTAAAAAGGATGCTTATTTAAAGATTGTGTGCATATCAGTTGAAAGATAATGTTAGAAAATAAGTTTGTTTAGAGATTTATAAATATGAATGGTTTTAGTTTATAGTGAACTTATGATGCTACATGGTTAAATATTATTGACTTTATATTTTACAGCCGGACAGGTGTGTGAGTCAGATGTAGACGGCGGAACGTGCTATAATAGAAGTGCGAGAGAGGATTGTAGCGGTAAGTTCCTCACTTACTTTGAAGTAATATACCCGTCACATGCTCATGCAGAATTTTGTATCGATTGTCTCCCTTAGATGTGATACTGCATTTTCATTTTATAATTTTTTTTTAGATGGCATCTCTTACTGCTACAAACCACGACAATGTTGTGGGGTAAGCACGTGTTGCCCGGCGAATTCAGAATGCTGTGGGTTTAACACTTGTTGCCCGAAGAATTCCGTGTGCTGTAGTCCAAATTACTGCTGTGAACATGGCACCACGTGTTGTGGATTCGAAACGTGTTGCGCAAGCGGCTCAGTCTGCGAAGGCGGAGTGTGTAAATCCAAAAGGTAGTAAATGTTATTGTACATTCAAAACTTTATTTTAGCTCGGATTTTTCTAAAGAAAAAATCATGGTATTGCTACTGTCATGTCGACCGTTTCAATGTCAAATAAGAAATTTAAATTTTATCTCTTACAAAAAAAATGTTTTGTAGGGGTAATCTTTACTATAATATTCTTCCTCAGTTGGATTTGTTTCACTTTAGAAATAAGAAAAAGCCGAGCGTGGCTCCCGCTTGGCGGTTGATATGTTGTTATCTTTTATTTAATAATGTATTTATAATAATGGTAATAATTTATTTATATTCATGTCATGAAGGTTTTTCAGAAAATGTATAAAATTTCATATTTATAAAAGTAAGGCTCTGTATTCAAGTAATAGGTATTTTGCTGGTCTCTGTAACAAAAACAAGCGTTCTACAACTTAAACAGAAGTGTGATTTGTAGTGTGTAATTGAAAGCAGATTGCCTTACATAGCGAATGTTGCTTGCGTGAATTATTGTTTAATGAAGAGATATTATGTAACTTTATCTTATATAGTTGTGTTTCATTAATCTCCTCATGCCTTGTATAATATTATTTATAAAGATTTTTGGCAGGTTATATGGCCCTATATAAACGGTTGATTAGAAATATAACCCGAACCACGAGGGTTATATTGCAAACAACCGTTTATATACGGCCATATAACCTAACAGAAATATTTTTGTTTGCTAATATTGAAGTTTATATAGTATTATATACACGGCTGCTGTATTTTTATGAAGATATGTTGCAAGAAACTGATTATATACGGCCATATAACCTTTCAGGAATTTATGATCCTGCAAACTTCCTTTTAAGAGCAACAGTAAGATTTCTTCATAAAATAACAACAATAAAAACTTCACTATCAGCCAATTAAAAGCGTCGTTACAAACGTGCAGTATCATTAGGTTTAATAAGCAATATTCTCGGTGCAATATCATTGAATAGAGTATGAATTATGTTTGTTTGATATTTATAAATTACAGTGGCCCGTTCAGATGGTGGTACATATTTTTCTTTCTGGCACCTACGTTTGCCATAATAGGGGTCATCATTAGAAGGAGACGTAGGGCTGCAATGCTTAGAGGTATGGCTCTGTTTGATTTCTTAGCAAACATTATCACAATTACCAACATTTTGTCTAGTTCAATTAATATTTTGTAAATAAAATTGATGAAATACTATTATGTTAAAACATACTTAATGACAATTTAGAAGTTATGGAAGATACCCTATTCATTTATTGTTTGAAGCTAATATAGAGAGCAAGTACCATTAATTAACTTTCCTTTTATCGCATTAAACGCGACACATGTGTGTTAAAAGGCGTGTTATAAATAGAGGATATTCAAGTGTTTTTTTTTTTTCAATAAATACAGAACTTATTTTCATAAAGTGGTATGGAACAGAATATTTCAGGAGTGGCGTAGCCTCAAGTGAAATATGATAATTTTCATATCACAAGATGAAATTAAATCCTGTGTTTACAGAAAAAACATGAATTGTCTGTTTATTATATACCTTTTTCTCATTTTTGACCTTAAATTCTTTAGACCTCTACTTTAATTTAGTGTATTGACTGAACTAAGAAGAAAGTAATTCATCAAGACACCAGTGAAAATACGGAAAAATATGTTTCACTGCAGTGAAAATTAAATTTGTACAGTGAAAATATGGAAAATGAAAATACGCATTTTTAATGAGAAGTCAATGAAAAAAATATTTTTTACCTACTAGCATTATACTATCACCAAAATATTACAACAATGATTGACTTTGTACATCTATTGATGTACGTAATATCTAAAATGCAGGAGATAGATTCGGAGAGTTATCAAGTTTGGTCTGTTGATATGTGTACTTCTTTAAGTAACACTCTAATTTTATGTTTTTGCAGCTGCAGGTGTTAATACTGGCGTTATTGTAACTGTGCCTGTACAAACCAGGGAACAGTACGGGTATGACCAGGGACCTATCAACTACAGCATGCAACCGGAAGTTGGTGTCCCACCTTATACGCCCAAGTCAACAACCAGTCCAAGTTGTCCGCCACCACCGTACAGTGATGCGGCCCCTCAACATGCTTGAATACACAACTCGGAAACGAGCATTTCTTTCGCGTTCAATCCTTCTGAATCAGTCAAAAAATTACATAAAGGATTTTTACTTTAATAAAGAAGAAGACGACATAGAAAAGTCTTGACTACTTAAAGATTTGTCTTTATCTCTTCATGAGCGTGGTTACTGCGTTTTTTTCGAATCCTAATTTGTGTGCAAGCATTTGGATAGTAGTACTTTGAAGGAAACTTTTAAAGGAATTGCAGCTGATATACACACACACACACACACACACACACGCACACACACACACACACACACATATATATATATATATATATATATATATATATATATATATATATATATATATATATATATATATATATATATATATATATATATATATATATATATATATATATATATATATTAAATCCATTTATTTGATGTATAAATTGTGTGAAATTTTCATTTTTTATTAAAATACTGATCTGAAATATATGTCCCATAACGTATCCGGACTTTGTATCCGGTATCTGGGTTTTTTTTATATCTGTAATTTTTCTCTTGTGTGTTTCTTTTATAATTGTATCGGTAATGGAATAGACATTGATGTTATTCAATGTGTGGACCCTTTGTGCTGAACTACGGGTTATATTGTTTAATATTTGTTTGTAAACATTCATATTTTGAAGTTTTGCGGTTAGATACTATACCAGCTTATAGCTTACAGTATTATTGTAAGTAAGTAAGTAAGTAAGTAAATTCTTTATTATAGTGACATGTGTTATACGTATATACATACACATAAATACACAAAGATGAACACCCGGCCCATAGGACCTATAAGTCACCTTAACAAAATATCATATTCTGAGCATGTGTTATAGTTTTTAACATGTTTATTAACATAATAGTAAATTCATATCAATACATGTTATGCATTTACGGACAGTTCAATTTTAATTAATCATGATCTATTATACAATAAATCTCTCCTTTT